TCTTTTGCATTCCATCCTCAATGAATTGCCAACCAACCAACCTTCAGTTAAAAATTTCCAATGAGGGGCAATCCACTACTTCCCAAAGCAGTCCATTACACAGTTGGGTAGCTCTAATTGTGTGACTCTGGGCAAGTCGCTTAACCCTGTTGCCTTAGTTTCCTCATCTGTAAAATGAACTGGAAAAGGAAACAGCACACCACTCCAATATCTTTGCCAAGAAAACTCCAAATGGTGTCGTGAAGAGTCAGACACAACTGAAAATGACTGAAAGATAGCAATTGTTTTGAAGTTGTTTTTGTTTTCTCACATTAAGACTAAATCTGATTCACTAAAATGTCTATGCATTACTTCTAGTTTTCTTTCCCCTGAACCACTCCCTCCAGTCAAACAGAACAACTCTAGTCTTTCTTCCATATTCCAGCCCTTCAAATTCTTGAGGGCAACCATCCTGTCTGCCCTACATTTCCTCTTTTCTGGGAACATTCTGAGCTCCTTCAATCAGTTCTCACAAAATGGGTTCTTCGATCTTTTCACCATCCTTGTAGCTCTTCTGTAAATGTTCTTCAGCTTATTAATGTCCTTCCAAAATTGTGGCCCCTTTGCTCCTGGGATGGAATGCTGTTCTACATCTGCACTCCCTGTGACTTTGATTCATTTGTTCACCATCTACTGAAACTTAATATACACATGCAGCCTCTTTCCCTGCTTCTTGTGTCCCCTTCCCATTCCTTTCCCACACAAATATCCTAGACTGAATAAAAAACCTTAGAAGTCCCTTAAGTAGCAGACTTGACTAGAAGAGATTGCCTACTTTGTTGCCAAGAGCTAGCCCCACAGGGAGACTCTAGATTCATTCCAATTATCCCAGCCCACCTGACTGCTTTCTTTGCACCTTTTCCCCCTCTCCCTTGCTGTATCTATTTACTGAACTTGAATTTCCTACTCAGATAAGATATTCTTCTGCTCTCCTAGTAACACCTACAACAACCACAGCAACATTTATAGTGCTTACTATGTGCTGGGCACTGTGCTAAGGACTTTACAATTATTATCTGACTCGGTCTTCACAACCCTGGAAGGTAGGTTCTGTTGTTATCCTCATTTTACAGATGAGGAAACTGAGGCAAAAAGAGGCTAAATGACTTGCCCAGGGTTACACAACCATAAATATGTGAGGTCAGATTTGAACTCAGGTCTTCCTTGCTCTAGATCCAGTGTTTTATCCACTGCACCACCTAGCTGCCCCTTCCTCTTAACTCACATTGGGAATTGGCTAGGAAGAAGTCTTCAAAGCATCCTTTTCTTCCTGCTTCAGAGAAGATTTTTCTCTTTCAGGTTTATCTCTTGACCCTGCCATTCTTTTTCAGTGTTTTAATGGAAGGTGGGCAGGCTGCTTGCTGGGAATGAAAATAGACTGGGGAGAACACTAGGTTTGAAGTCAGGTTGATATCCCATCTCTGATACTACCTGTGTCCATGTCAGCCAAACGACAGTGGGGAAGAAGCTTTGCTCCCATTGTTGGGACTCTTCTGGTTGGAGATTTAGTATGGATATCCATGCAAGGAAGAAATGGAAAAATTAACCAGAGCGATAAGGAGAAATGCTTACATATAGTGAAAGCCTTCACCAAGCAGATAGTTGCCATTTGCTTGTACCTGCTTCTTGGCTGTCACATAACCCATTCCTTGGTGAGCAAAGTAGCTTTTCTTACATAATAGCACCTACTATGCACCAGATAGTGTCAAATATTTTCTGCTTTGATCCTCATAATAATTCTAGAAGATAAATGCTATTAACTCCATTTTGAAGTTGAGGAAACTGAATCAAAAAGAAGTTAGATCACATAGCTAGTAGGTATTTGAAGCTGGATTTGAATGCAGGTCTTCCTAACTCTAGGCCCAGCACTCTACCCCTGGGGCCACCTAACTGACTCAAGAAAACTCTTATTTCCTCTCTATTACAAATTCAAGTCTCTACCCTTAACAAGCAGCCAATAAGCTCATTCTGAAATGTTGCCCAGATCTCCCAGATAATGTTTCTTGCATACAGCACAGGGTGTTTTTGGGAGCTACATACCTTGTCTTGTAATTCAGTTCAATTCAATTTAACAAGCGTTTATGACAGTCCTACTAGTGTCAAGTAGTGGCTACTGGTGCTAGCGCTGAAGTCTACTATAGAGAATACAATAGAAAGACAAATACACATTAACAAGAAAGAAAGAAAGAAAGAAAGAAAGAAAGAAAGAAAGAAAGAAAGAAAGAAAGAAAGAAAGAAAGAAAGAAAGAGAGAAAGAAAGAAGTAAGGAAAGAAAGAAGTAAGGAAAGAAAGAGAGAAAGAAAGAAGTAAGGAAAGAAAGAAAGAGAGAAAGAAAGAGAGAGAGACAGAGAGACAGAGAGACAGAAAGAAAGAAAGAAAGAAAGAAAGAAAGAAAGAAAGACAGACAGACAGAAAGAAAGAAAGAAAGAAAGAAAGAAAGAAAGAAAGAAAGAAAGAAAGAAAGAAAGAAAGAAAGAAAAGAAGGAAGGAAGAAGAAGGAAGGAAGGAAGGAAGGAAGAGGAAGGAAGGAAGGAAGGAAGGAAGGGAGGAAGGAAGGAAGGAAGGAAAGGAGGGAGGAAGGAAGGAAGGAAGGATGGAAGAAAGAAAGGAAAAGAAAGAAAGGGCCTTTGCCCTCAAGGAGCTTTCATCTACTGGCTGGAGTTGGAAGAATATCATGTAATCAGATAAGTCAATATAGATCAGTTTCTGGGGTAGGAATGCTAATTAGATAAATTGGGAATGGCTTCTTACACAAGGTGGCATTTGAGTTGAGCCTTAAAGGGGGCTACTAATTCTCAAATATGAGAAGGAGAGCATTCTGGGAATGGGGGATAGTCTGTGCAAAGATGCAGAGATCTAAGGTGGAATACCAGATATGGTAAACATCAAATAGGTCAGTTTTCTGTCTGGAATGTAGGGCATCTGGGTTTTGCAATGCTCACCACTCAGCTTGGGAACAATAGCTGCACCTGATTCTCTTTAATGCTGTACAATTTTGGAAGTTTTTAGTTAAACTTCTGATATGCATGTACCCAAGGGCGTCCTAATTTTTCATTCTCACCAATTCAAGATTTAAGCAGAATGTACTTTCCTGTCCATGAGAATGAGGTTAAGTGATGTCACCTACCCACCCTCATATTCAACCCTGCTCTAGGAATGACCATATAAGTCTCTCTCTTTTTATTTTCTAAGTACTTTCTTTGACTATGTTGCAGGCATTTGCATTGAGATTAATTAGTCCTCTATTTTTTTCTTTTCTTTTCTTTTGGCAATTCGGTTAAGTGACTTGCCCAGGTCACATAGTAAGTGTCAAGTGTTTGGTCTGAGGCAGTATTTGAACTCAGGTCCTCCTGACTTCAGGGCTGATGCTCTATCCACTGCGCCACCTAGCTGCCCCAGTCCTCTTTTCTAATAATGGGTTCTAGTCTGTGTCACCTCTAACTGGCCACACAGTATTGGGTGAGTTGAGCTTCTTAGCAGCTAGGTGGATACAGTGCTTAGCCTGGAGTCAGGAAGACATTTACTAGCTGTGTGACTAAGTCACTTAACCCTGTTTGCCTCAGTTTCCTCATCTGTAAAATTAGATGGAGAAGGACATGGCAAATCACTCCAGTATCTTTGCCAAGAAAATGCCCAAAGAAGAGTCAGACATGACTGAAAATGACTTAACAACAAAAAGTTGAGTTTCTGTTATTGATAGCTTTCTGGCTTATACCTTTGGACTGTGTCTGCTCTTTTCATCCCAAGAATGGTGCATTAATCTTAGAAAACGCTTGCTCCCTCTCTGACTTGTGTGATTCTCACCAGGCTTCAGTTGCCTCATCTATAAAATAAAAACAATAGCAATGTTAGTAATACTTCTCCCACAGGAAGGCAGGGGTCTGGACTAGATTTGAGGTTATTTTCATTGAAACAACAAGTGTTTAATAGATGTCTGGTTTGTGCCAGGTATTGTGCTAATGTAACCCTTGTTCTCACTAGTTGTCAAATGCCTATTAATCTAAGTTTTGGAGATATAGAGACAAGAAAGAAGACATTCTCTGCCCTCAAGGACATTGAGATCTTAAGTTAGCAACAGAACATTGCATTATATGTATATATGGGATCATATGAGATGTGGAAAGGGATTTGGAAAGGCTTCCCATAGGATGGTGTATCATATCCTAATGATATATAGACTTAGATTCCATAATTTGCAAATAACTAACCTCTAGTTGTATATATAAATTATAGAGACTAAGCAAAATCAGACTCAATCTGCTCATGGAGTTCACATTTGTTTGACTTGCAATTGAGTTTCAGTTGAGGTTGCCCTGTCCCAAATTCTACTGTGCCCTTAACACAATCACACACACACACACACACACACACACACACACACACCCCTAACACCATAACTGCTACTAAGCTTCTAAAAAGAAGAAGTCTAAGATCTCTAACTTCTAAATACCCAAGGGATCCAGTCCAAAGTGAATCAACAAAAGATCAGCATTGTTCTTTGCTAATTTGTTGAGTTGTATTCACACCTGAATTAATCAGAATCTCTTTCCATCCCTCACTATAATTCCTTCCATTTCAACATCCTTCCCATTCTCTCTTCTCTGTCTCTTATTCTCTGCACACACACACACCCCAGAAAAGTATTAGAATTCCATTCCTTTCTATGTCATTAGAGTTAAATTCAAATCTTGCAGCATTATCATCAATAAAACTATTCCCCAACTCTGGGACTGCTCAGAAGCTGCCATTTCCGTTTCTTCTCTCCTCCTTTTGAAAGTTATTTCTTTGTCAGAATGCATGTGAGGCGTTTCCCCTCCCTTCCCTCTTGACCCTCCTCTGTGCTCTGAACACTTCTTGAGCCAAGCTCTGAGTGCAGCGGCCATTCTTAGCTTTGTTAGACAAAGAAGATGGTTCCCTTAGCAACAGGAACCATGTGGAGGTCCTCAGAAGGGGTTTCTCCCACTCCCCAGGTTTTCTTTCAGCTCTACAGCTTACCCTGATGTCTGTCATGGAGGATACACCAACCAGGGTAGGAAAAAATAGTTCTAAATATAGATAATCGATATTCAGGATATAGTTGTTTTATATTTAGCCGGCAGAAAATATGAGGAAACTGGGTAAGTTATTACCTGGCTTGTCAAGTGGAGGACATCCCAAACGGAAGAGGAAGAAAAGTTGAATTTGCTTTGCTATGCAGTGACTTCTGAACCTGCAATAGCTTGGGGCTTCAAAGGGCATCTTCTAGTCAGCATATATGCCTGTTTGGGGCAGAGGTGGAGGCTTTTATAGGCAAGTTTTTTACCTTGTTTGCCAGATTGTCTCTTGTTGCTGGACTTCCTTTCTTCTTACTGTTGTCATTTCCTAGTATAGCAATCTGGGTCCCCAAGTGACTTGTCACTTCCATATTCTTGTCAACAATTGTCCATTCTTTTTCCAGAAGGTCTTTGTAGCAGTTGTCTCCTGTTTTCTTTGATCTAATGAAAATGGGATTGGGTGTTGGGTGATTTCTGTTGTAGGCAGTCACTTACAAGTAGCCAAAGAGCTAAGGGGCAATCTGAATGGGACATTTTTAACCTTTAAGGAATGACCTCTTTGAAGAATGATTATCCTCTGATCCTGCCATATGAGTTGTTACTTGTTTCACAAATTGATGAACTAGTTTGAACATGAAGTTCAGAAATGCAAATTCAATATACAAGGAGTTCATAGTTACAAAGATTTTGAACTAGAAATGACCTGAAAGATCTAAGTCTAACTCTTCATTTTACATATAAGGAATTGTTAAGTGACTTGCTGAGATTCACACAGCTCATAAGTATCTGAGGCAAATTTCAAACTCACGTTCTTAACTTCAATTCTAATACTCTATCTACTATGCCACCTCAGTGAAACGCTGATCAATTTGATAAGTTTCCCAATCAATCTGATGGGATTATAAAGCATTAGTAATAGTTTGGGGGGCATCTGTGGGAAGTCTCTCCCTGTAGAGTGAAGGTATTTGTCACTTTACAGTGAGGTCACAGAATTTCCTTTTAGTTTTAAGTGATTGAGGCTACTTCCAAGATAATTGGTTAGGCTGGAATTTAAGAGAACAAACTGTTATGGAAAGGGATCTTTTTAGTTTAGCCGACTGAACAGCTAAGCCAATTCTGGACTTCATGTGTACAGAGTAGCATGCAATAGAGGGGTCTGGTCCTAGGAAGGAAACCCCAACTCTCTCCCCTGTCCACTAAAATATGCAATTATTACCTTGGAGCAAAGGCATGAAGAAATTATGTCTTCACATATAGTTTGAAAGAAAAGATCCTGAGAATGAAATTTTCCAGTCTCAGAAGCGGCAACAACCAGGGTACTGATAGATTTCCTTTAGGAGGAAATGGAAGAGGTAGACACGTATATACCTGTTTAGCCTAAGAAAGTAGTTTATGGACAATGTTCATGAACCCCAAACTCCTACGTGGAAGGGGAAGGACATTTGAATTGCCTAGAGAGGGTGATCCTGTAATCTAAATTTCTAAACTAAGAAGCAAGATTTCCTGGGCAGCCTTAGGGATTGCTTCATGGGTAATCCCAAGATGTAAAGTGATCAAGTTCAAGATTTTGAAAATTGGATTTTCTAGAGAGAAATGGGGATTTCCTGTGGTGGCATTATCTTTGGAGAAAGACAAGTATTTCCAGCATAATTTCTTAGCAGTGTTCTATTTGGAGAGCAAATTCATTGAATTATTGAAACTGATAGTAAGAGTCTTAGAGGACAGGATTCTGTGAAAAAGAGATATACGCTATAGTGTCAAAGGATTGTCGAAATGGAAACCTCCAAGTTCAATAAGAAATAATAGAAGAAAGGCAAAAGACTTTTTTAGAATTAGATCCACATGGGGGAGCTAGCCAAGAAACAATGGACTTGTAAAATAAGACAAGGAAAAATAAGCATATTGAACCTTATAAAAACCACATGCACGAGCACGCGCGCGCGCGCACACACACACACACACACACACACATACTAGCATATCTTAAAAAAAAAAGAAAAAGAAAACTATCCATAACTACTGAAACTGGAGGGTAAAATGAAAAGAAACATTATCTAGGTCACCACCTAAAATAAATCTCAAGCATATAACATACCTGAAAATGTTATTACCAAATCCTGAGCTTTCAGGTCAAAGAAAAAAATATTGCAAGTGATCAGGAAGAAAGAGAACAGCCACAGTCCGGACCATGTGAGAATATGCAACAGTTATGAGAAACAAAAAAATTGTAGTACAGAATAGCAAAAGACAAAATATAAGGAATTATAACTCTAAATGGCTTATCCTGAAAAGCAGAGCATAATTCTATTAAGGAAAAATAAAACTTTATAGATTCAGTGACTTCTAAGTATTCTTGTTGAGAAAACCAGACCTCAGTAGAATATTTTAAATGTAAAAGTAGGAGACAAAAGAAACCTGGAAAGGTAAATAATTTGGACAAATTGAAAAAGTTATGTGATGATCAAGCATATACATTCCAGTGGAGAGGAAAATCAGTCTATTTTCAGAATCACATCGTGTTCAAGAGTCAAAAAGGGAATAATGAAAAACAAAATCATTTAGGACCTAGCTGTTTTTTTTCAAATTGCTTTTTATTTTAAGAGAGAAAAGAAAAGGAAATAGTAGTGGATAGGAGGGAAGAACTTAATATTTCTAGTAAATGAGGCACAATAGGAGATTATATGAGCATAAAAAGGTAGTATTTGGAGAATGGATATCTCATAAACCTCAGTCTTGTATGATTAGAGGAAGAAGAGTTTGGGGTGGGGTGGGGAAGAGTATAGTGTAGAAATAGAAGTATGGGACACTAGCTGCGATGGAAAAATAGGAAGAAGCAGTAGAATTTGGTTACCCCCCACATTTCTCCAACAATGATGTAAGAACACTGAATTGAGTAGCGATCAGAAAATCAAAGGAGAAATTATAGTGAGTCATTTCTCAAGCCCAAGACCACAAATTCAACCTACAGGCAAATGACCAGGGTATGAACTATGGATCAGGGTAAGGCCATTATCAAATATTATCCAAAGCTCAGATCTAGGCCAAACCCATGGGATGCCCAGAGCTGATCACAGACTCAGGCTTGGGCCCAAGCCAAAAAAGAAAAAGAAAAAAAAAAAAGGAGGTTACCCAAAGAGATTCTCAGAGCTTTAAGCTAATCCAGTCCAAAATAAATTATAGATTCAGCCCCTGGCTGAGGCTAGCAACATAAGCTGAAACACAGACTCCACCCTCAAAGATCTACATTAGGCTTGCAGTACAGGGAGACACAGAGTTGATACTGGATTTAGCCATCAGATTTGGGCCTGGGGCAGGGGCTTAGTACCCAGGGTGTCCAATGTGCAGTTGCCTAGACTCAGTCCCCTGCCCAGGAAAGTGATGCAGAAGGGTCTCTTAGAAGTTCTGGGATTTTAGACTCAGTCTTAAAAGAGCTCCCAGCAATATAGTTCCTCACTCTTCACAGCTAATTGCTCAAAAATAACTATCAAAAAAAGAGGAAAAGTTATTGTGAGTCCAAAGATGCCCATGACACAAACCCAGAAGAAGAGAAAAACTTTAAAACACCTATAAGGAAAACCACAAAGAAACATACAGCTTGCCCATAACATCAATCAGAATCCCTAGAATAAATGATGTAAGAATTTTAAATATTAGTTTAAATGATATTATAAATGAAATAAAAGTAACAGCAGGAAGAACTGGAAAAGAAATGAGAACTATGGAGGGAGGATTTGGAAAGAAAATTAACAGCTTGGCACAAGAGATGTAAAACCCTAAGTAACAGACTTCCTAAAAATTATAATGGGCCAAACAGAAGTTAATAATGCCATGAAGCAAAAAAAAAACATTAAAGTCAAAATTTGAAAGAAAAGAAAAGTGTCTCATATTCAACTAGCCTGGAAAAAAAGATTGAAGAGAGATAATTTGAGACCACCCGAATGCCATAAGACAGAATAAGAAAAAAAGAGCCTAGATAGTATGTTTCAAAAAAAAAAATCATGAAAGAAAAATGCCCAGATCTCTTAGAATCAATGGGTAAAGTGGAAAAAAGAAAAAGAAAAAAGCCACTGTTCACCTCCTGAAAGAAACCTCAAAATGAAAACTCCTAGGAATGTCATAGTTAAAATCTAATGCTCCTAGTCAAAGAAAAAAAAATTCTGTAAGCAGCCAGAAAGATTTTAAGTACTGAAGAATCATCATCAGGATCATAGACAATTTACCAGCTGCTACTTAAGGAGTAAAGAGCATAGGCTCTTGTTTAATCTTCATTATTAATATTTTGCCCATTACATTTTTTAAGTCCAAACAGTCAACAAATCAACAAATCAGTATCTGATTTTTAGTGTTTGCCGATTTCTGAGCTGCACATGATCACATTGAAAATGTAAAAATCAGTTCCTATGAACCAGTACAAATTGTCTCTAGCATATTTTTGATTATTATGTCCCAGAAGGCAGAAAATATGGGTATACAGCCAAGAATAACTTACCTGACAAACATTAGTATAATCTTGTAGAAGGAAAAAAAGAATGGATCTTTTATGAAATTGATGACTTCCAAATATTCTTGATGAAAAGTTCAGAGCTGAATAGAAATTTTGAAATTCAAATATGGGAGTAAAGAGAAATATTAAAAAATGAGAAATCAGAAAAGACTTTATAAGATGGCATGTTTGCATTCTAAAGGGGAAGTAGAGGGAATGGTACAAGCATTCTCTAAGAATTGTAATGTCTTCAGGCAGTCAGAAAGGGAGTCATATAGGGCCTGGAATTGACTTTTATTTTGTTTTGACAATCTTAAAAGGTTATATTCCCTTCCAAATTTAATATTTCCTATTAATTTATATGCTTATATCCAAAATCTTTAAGTTTTCTTCCCCCTGAGATCTTTGGTAATTTCAGTGTTGTTTTTCCCTCTATTTTCCTATTGCTCACTTTCTGATTCTGTCCCTTTTGATAGGATTTACCCTAAGAGGCTAGACCTCAAAGCTGTCTCA